ATGACTCAATGTATGTGAGAGAAAGTCTTCTTACGGAACAACCTACTACTTCGCAAAAACGACAAAGCAACATGGAAGAAAAATATTTATTGCATACGCGAATGCAAACTACAGCCTGCGTTTTCTTTTAACCACCAGCGGAAGACAAGGCAAATTTGCGTCAACGGCAACTGAATCTTTCGAGAGAAATGCTTACAAGGCACGAAATCCAACAATGGGATCATTCACGAGTGCATTTGCTTCGGCGAACAACGACAATCGAAGTAATCAGTGCAATCCGAACAATTCCCTGTGGCAAGAATATATATCCGGTTATTATGGCTAGGGAGACAAGGCCGATCTTGATAACCACGCAAACCAATTAAATCCCAACAATTGGCGGTTTGGTGGCAACTAGGAAGTGATGTTCAGGTCAGAGATGGGCAGGTCCAAGTCTGGACTGGGACTGAAGGCGTAAGAGACTTTGACTGGACTGGGATTGGAGATATAAGAGACCTGGACGTTTTTCTGCTAGATTTTTTTCACATTTGTGACTGGATCTTTGAGTTTAAATTTGAAAAAAGATGAAAAGAATAAAGAAATCGAATTCAGTCTTTTATCTTTTTCGTGTTACCATACCGCGTAGTCGGTTAGCATTAGCTCTGATCAGAACTTTTGATTCAAAACTTTTGATCAGGGTACTTACTCAAAAGGCGGCAGTTAAAGAAACAGTTACTGTCTGATAAAAAAAATGGAAGTGGAAAACAATGTATGCTGTGGCCGACATCAGACTTAAAGCTTAGCGGACTGGGACTGGAAAAGTATCGGACTTGCCCATCTCTGGTTCAGGTCACCACGTATAAGTACATTACCAAAGTAATGCTGGAAAAAACATTTTCTTTGCATGTCGAAGTTCAAGAATATTAATCATGACGCAATTCTGTTCTGCGCCAAGAATGAAATGTATTGAATGAAAAAAACAACGTAATCAGCAGATAGAATTCATATTCTGTTGTTTCATTTATACTAGACACGTGAGAATTGCTATATACTGCGACAAATGCATCATGTTCTCGAAGAAAAGTGCAAATAAAACATGATGCATGCGTCCAATGTATCTAAAGACTGAGGAAGTTTCTAAAAAACCATCTAAGAAGTTAAACTCGACCAGATCTTCTTCATAGAATAATATGTCGTTGAACATAGAATAATGTCAGAATTTTGTGGGCATATGCAGTTCAGGTGCTTTATTGACTGAACGAAACTCTAATATTTTATAGTCAAGTTAAAAAATAGATTTTAATTTTTGTCAAAATTTCATTAAAACCCGTATATCTCCCTGAACATACGTTTCCGCCTCCCGAAGCGTTGAGGTTTGGGTAGCTCAAAATTATGACTATACCGTGCAATCTAGAGACAATTGTGTGGCAAATTTAATTTCCCAACTTTTATCTGCTGGATTCGACTTGGTCTGATTTGATTTTCAATTCAACAAATCTGATACCGGCATTTCTTTTTTTTCTTCTTGTTATGTATTTAATGTACGGTCAGGGAAACATCATGTTTAACCGTTGATGAGCTTCGGCGAATTATGAGAAGAGTTGTTAGGTATATTCACTTCTGAATAAAATAGCTTAAACCGAATCTTGTACCTTTAGCTCCACATAACCTTAGTTGTCTAGTAATTTCTTCAATAGAGGTAAGCGGTTTCGCGCGACATCTATCTGGTGGCTTAGAAAAAGTGTTTGTTACGATCATTCTTTTTGTTCGTGCGGAATTTTTCTTTTGTTTTATTTTTCTTTACATGGGATTTCTTTCTTTTAATATGTTGCTAACGTACTGATTGGTCAGTCGATGAACTAGTATTCCATATTTTTCATTTCCATGTTTTGTAGATAGACAGAACGCAAAAGTATTTTATAATATCTTAATCAAAGTCAAGGAAATTACAATCATTGGCGGGTCGTCAGCAGGGCAGTTGTCCTTCCTGGAAAAAAATATCAAGGGCAATAAGCAGTTCTTGTCATGGAATAATTATTTTTCGCAGCAGAGTATCCGTCTGAAGTTCAAAATAAAGTAAGAGTAATTTTTGATTGAAAAATTTGATGTACACTTTAAATGAAGGAAAAATGTTTTAGCACGGACAAAAATTATGAAGGGAAGCACGTTTGTGTATGCACTACTCTAAAATATCTATTGTCCCCCATAAAAAATGTTTCTCGTTCCGACCATGATTAGAATCGATGTTTATTATCTTCAACAATCTTGGTGTTTTATTGGTTTTAATCCAGTGAAAAGGTTTACGTAGGAGCCATCGGTTCCTATCTCTTTCGATCAAGATAAAGTTTCATTAAAATTTCTTTTACCAAGCGCCCGTTTCAACGTAAATCACACTGATACTGGCGCTTAATCAAAGAACTTTAATGAAACCTTAGAGTAACCTACCCTCAGCGTGTCTGTGATCCGAAAAAAAGTCTATTGATCAAGTTTTTTATCCAATTAAAATTCTTTGGCTACAATTTTACATTTTTAGTGTATGATACTTAAAAATGTAAAATTGTCTGTAATCTATAGAGAGAGAGACAGTCGACGATGCATGATCACATAGAGTTTTCAATGTTCACTGAAGAGCACCTATGAAATTCCATTTAATAATTTCTCAAGTCATATACTTATTGAAAAAATGAAACTAAAGAACTTTGTAGAACAAGACAATAAGTTAACTTAATCAATAGTTTATACGTATCAGATGTTATAACATAATATTCTTACGTTCATAAACTTATGGATATCCTAAATATCATCAATTAATTAATGACCAAAACGTCCGATGATTACTAGTTGATACGTTAAGAGTTTGGACCTCACAGTTTTTACAATTAATTGTCAAAAATGTGGCGAATTTTACGGCATGGATGAGTATTTAGTGAATTGACTTAAAACAACTCTCTAGTTTTCTTAAGTCAATGCTCAACTTAAGATCACCGACCCATTGGTCCATAGGTTAAGAAAAACTTAACAGAGATCCAAACGGGTAGGACTTTGTTCTCCCGTTCCGTAGAAATAACAAACATAATATTACGGAAAGATTTTTGGAACTGTACTTTTAATATTTTTTCTGTTTTTATGCTGCTATTTCTAGTTCAGACTTTAGCAGTCGAGTCCTCGCATTCAAGTTTGATCAATGAAATCTATGTTTTTGCGCTGAAGTTACAGTGATACTGGATTTTGGACCTAACATGCGTGAAGAAAGTTAGAACAAAACACCTTGTCGATACTATTGCTATTGTATCTTTTCCACATTGAGACAGTTGTTTTTGTTCAGCATCGTTGATTTCGCCCTCATTTCGTTTCTGAATTAAAACAAACGCCAACGTTAGCTATTCTAGTACAAAAAGACTTTATAAATACAAAGGCCTAGTGACTGACTACAGATTCTTAGTACTCGTGTGTACGATGATGATTAGTGGGATTTTCTTTGCTTATGAGTCTTTTAATATGCTCTACTTTATAGTTCAAATGATTCGATGGTTGTAAACAGAGACAGTGGAGTCTCTTAAAACTTAATGAGACTCAATATTTTTTTCGCTCATATGAATTTAAGAAAAATTCTCATAATATGGAATGATTGTTCGCAGACTAACTCAGAATTAAAAAGGTAAAAGTCTCTAGGTTTACGGTGTTGACTGAGATATTCTTCGTTTATGTAGGAGTTGTTTTTTGAATACCTAGAACCTACAAGCCTTCAGCAGAGTAGAGAAAAATCTATTTTTTTCTCAAAACTTAGTGAGGCCGAGCCTTGTAGACCTTGTAATGCTCAACCCTATCAAGCCTTGTGGCTCCGCCATCTATGGTTGTAAACTAGTATATTTATCCATTTAACCTAGAAAATTAGATGAGACAGATCTGCCCGGAGTATTTTAATAGAGTCCTGAATGCTGCAAAATTCCTTACTGGCAATTAGCGAATCTTTGTGTTCTTGTTTTGTTTTAGATCGAAAAATGTATGAATATGTACTTAATCATCCTCATTCATCCACGTCATCGGTAATCTCTCCCATGTCGTCTTCCCCATCCATGTCTATAGCGAGTCCTTCTTCCTCAGCGTCTGTTTCACCAGTTGCTCATTCTCAACAATTTATTTCGGAACTTCAATCCACCGTAATTCAACAACCAATTGCCGTTGATGCAGTGACAATTTATGGTCTCACACCTCTTGGTTGTCTATTAACAAAATTGTTTACATCCGTTGATGTTCACGTTTATTTATATGATGATTTAATAAATTCCAATGCTCATCTACTTCATCGATTAAAAATGTGTGTTTCAGAAAACATTTTTACATATGTTCAAGATTCGGATAGATATGACTTACCCTATTTGTCATCAATATTAATTAATTGTCAAGATGATGTGAAACGATTACATAAATTACTTTCACAATTTCCTCATGAATATAAACAAAAGTTTGCTTATATTGAATGTTCAAATATGCGGTATACACATGTCGAGTTCGTTCAGAACGAATTGAAACTGAGTTATCCAAATTCATACTATTTATGTTTGACATTCTATGAATTAGATACATCCGTATCGACAAAAGTTCCCGATGTGCGATGTGTTTGTAGGTATGTAAAAAGAAGTGTAACTAATATTGAGTCAAAGTTGATTCAAGATGCTGTAGATATGGAATTAAATTTTGATCACTGTTGACCGACGAGAAGATGCTGTATATACATTCTGAGAAATAGCTCGCTGTAAAGAACAATTCTTATTTTCTGATTGATATCTTAGAAATATGTTTATACAAATTTTAGCGGTGATTTTTATGTATATCAAATATTATTGCCATATTTACGTTGTATGACTCATTCAAAATGTGAGTTTATTGCTGAACATGCTCAAAAATTGTCAATTATTTATCAACATCATTTATATATTCAACTTGCATGTTATTCTGAAATTGTTGCATTGCTATTAAAACAAGATGAGGGAAATTTAGAACGATTTCAGTTTTTAATTGATTGGAATATGTTAAAACGACCAATGATGAGACAAATGATATTGAGAAATCCAAATGAACCGTGTATGAATGATTTTTATTCATATAAAATTGAACATTTTCAACATATACTAGGCTGTGCAATTGATCTGTTAGAGAATCATAGTTTTGGTAATACTGTGCTCGATCATGAATGTGATATAAAAAGTCTGACGTATGTACTCTACAATTTCATATCAAAGTTAGACAATACTGTTAAACAACGAAATATATTCCAACTTCATACAATCTATTGATATATGATAGTAATTAGCTCTAGTCACGCATATAATTGCGCTGTTTGTATATTTTTCTACGTTTTGTCTGTCTTTTTGACTTTGTTTTTGAATGGGGTATAGCGTTTTTATTCTGGTGTTGTCCGCATCTGTAAAATACAAGAACCTTCAGCAAGATATATGACATCCATTAGGCGTCAAGGCTGAACTTATTCACAAAGTCACAACTATACCCTATAATTTCTTGTCAATAGCGTAGTTTAAGATGAATAAGTGTTGATAATAACAAAATGGAACGTTTGTTTTTTGTTTTTTTTTGCTTGGGGGAATGTCATTAGCTTATGAATGGATGAATGAAAACGATACAATGGGATTGATTAAATGTGATAATTTTATAACTTATTATTTCCACAAATAGCTTTAGCCAGTGTTGACACTCGCTCTCTCTCTCTCTCTTCTCGAAAATAATATTCGAATAGATCGATAACCAGCAGATTTAACAACAAACATGTAGGTTGACATTACATGTAGACTTATGAGTAATCGAAACTCTAAAACAACGTATCAGCAATATAACAACGTGAGATACGATAAGTATATGTATCTAATTATTTTCTGGACCCATTATTTTTCAACAACATTTTGTATATCGAGTTTTAGTAGAGTAATGTGCACTTACAATAATCAAGAAATTGTAATATTCTTCTCTTGAATGCAGATTTTTTTATGTTGTTTAACCTTTTTAGCAAAGCATCATTATTTTGTCTTTTATACGTTTGTATATTTTTGCGAAATAGTGAGTATCTTTTTGATTTTATATGCGTCATTGCATATTAACTCCAATTTCTGATCATATTTTTTACAAACTTTTTTTCCTTTATTTTGCCAGTACTCAATCTCCTGAGTTCAGGATGTAAAATAGTAATGAATAAAATGATTTTATGTTATTGTTGTAAAACATTTTTTGATATTTTTGGTAATAGTAATGTTTGTATTGTATTTTGTACAATTTTTTTTGTTGTTTTTTATCAGAATAAATAAATAAAATAAATTCCAAGGTAGATTTTACTTTTGCGAGAATGCTATCAATAAAATAGCGCTCGTTAAAATGGGGCAAAAAGAGCGGATGGATGAAATCAAGACATTCACACAACGGTCAGACGTGGTGACATTAGATATGCTCACAATGTAACTAATTTAATTTTTTTTTAATTCGATACTCCTACTTAACGTCTCATTACTTTTCTGTATTTGAAATTTCATTCTATTTAGTATATCATTTTTTTTATCGTATTTCCATCCTTTCAGATTTTCTTCTTACAGCATAACAATAATGAATATGGATGATTATTCAACAAAAATTAGAATTGAAGCAGAAAGATTAGTAAAAACTGAATTTCCTGCAAAAGCATTAGAATTAGATGCACTAGTCTCGGTAAAACAAATGTTTAAATCAAAAACGATATAATCAACATGATGAAAGGAAATAAATCATTATGAGATAACGTTTTCTTATTTTAGAGTCAAGCATTGTCATTTGCCGAAGTTCCAAAAGTTCGTCAGGGTATATTAAATTCTATCGTTTGTACTATTTTGATTTCTAAATTTAATTTCTATTTTATAGAAACCCGTTTGCCAACAGCCGATGAATTAGTTACACATTTTTTACAAAATAATTATAGCAATACAAACAGCAATAATAGTAATGCAATTGAAGTATGTGGGACAAACAATTTTTCATCGTTCATGCTTCCTCACATACATCTAAATATCCATTTTATAGGATCGTAAACATGCAAATGTAAAAAAACGAAAAATCGATAATGATCAATCTCCAACATCGTCACCATCGAAAGAAATAGGTTAATAATGATTCATTTTATATATAGTTCTATCTTATATAAAGTTTATTTACTAGGAACAAGTGTATTTTTATTTCCCGGTGGTCTTATTCCTTCGAACGGAATTATTCAATCATTGGAAGAAACGCTCAAACCGTATATATTCCATTTTCTCGATAGTGTTGCAATTGTAAGTAGAAATGCTTTTTATTAGAAAACTGAGCATTTAATGAAATACGAAGATATTTTTCTTCAGAGGACAATTGAAGAAGTCAAAATCTCTGTACGAGGACAACGACTTTCGAGTCAAATTTTGAACTTCATACCTTTATTTGTCGGTATTTTGACCTTTAACCGGTTATTTTCAAAAACATAAACAGAAAAACTGTACAAATAATGAAAATAACTATTTTTTTTCTCTATTCTTACTACGAAATACAATAGAACGAAAAAGACAAAAATTCAAGACTAGGCCGATACTAACTTTATATATGCACATATATAAAAAATATCAATGACCACATTATCTCTATACAGTGATGTGTATGTATTTTTTATATTTTTATTTTTTTTGTAACTGACTTTTTCTGGTGGTATGAGTCTTCCATCTCCAAGTGTTTTCTTTTTCTCTACACCGTCTGGAAAGATATAAAGAGAAACTTATCGATCTGTTCCATTTAGGATTTGCTGTTTTATACCACAAATCTCGGTATTATGTCTTTCAACCGACAGATTTTAAAAAATTAAATATCCTACCGTGTAGTTTCCATTCTTAAGTACAATTTTCTAACTGAACGAAAATTTATAATTGCGTTACGCTATTTACGCGTTACGTTATATTTTATATATACGCATATATAAAATTAGGATCGGCCTAGTCTTGAATTTTCTCTTTCGTTCTATTGTATTTCGTAGTAAGAATAGAGAAAACAAGTAGTTATTTTCATTATTTGTATAGTTATTCTGTTTATGTTTTTGAAAATAACCGGTTAAAGGTCAAAATATAGACAAATAAAGGTATGAAGTTCAAAACAGCTGCAATTATTATCACATTTTTTACAATTGACAAACTACTTAAAATATCCAATTGAAATTTTCAATGGGAGTCATTATTTTTTTTTTTATTTAGATAAAACTCTGGATACAATTGTTAATTCCAAAAGTTGAAGATGGTAATAATTTTGGAGTATCAATTCAAGAAGATTCTTTAGCTGAAATACGGACACTGGAAACGGATGTAACTCAATATTTGGATTTAACTTATAGATATTTAATTTCACGTGGTGAATTAGTTAAAAAAGTTGCAAAATATCCGCATGTTGAAGATTATCGACGATCAGTACAGAGTTTAGACGAAAAACAATTTATATCAATGAGATTTACTGCCCTCGAATTAAGAAATCATTATGTATGTATATAGCTCTTTTCAGTCAATCTCTGCTGCTTAGGTCATACCAGAAGTAGTTAAAGCCCCATAGAATAGAGTTAATCAAGCGTTTACTTCAGCAAGTATTTGAGCTAGTAGCCATGATTATCCACACACAATCAATTCATTTCACGAGATTTTCTGAAGATTTTTTTCGAATCATCTTTGATTAAAAAATCCATCATCTTGATTACAGCACCCAATACAGCGATTATGGACCGTCATGATCGATTAAATTTTGTTGAATATGACTGACTAATGAAATATGGCGAATACATGAAGCGGTAGTAGGTGACAAGTGCTAGATCTGTCACACAAATGGGTTGAAATTCTTCGAAGACAGACTATTAATCGGCAGTATTATATCCATAATTGTTTAAAACTATTTATCAACAGAATGAGAAGGTAAATATCATCAGCTAGTGCTAATTGCATCAAAGTTCATTATGACAATGTCCGACCATATACTCATAAAGATGTCTTTACTATCTCGAATTAGAACGTATGATCATTATTTTATCCCCACCTTATTCTACGGGTCCAGTACTAGGTAATTTTCAAGTACTCTATTTCATTGATAAACTTAATCGATCATGACGGTCGACAATCGCTATATTGGCTGTCGTAGCCAAGATGATGAATTTTTTAATCAAAGATGATTAAAAAACAACCTTCAACAAATATCTTGAAACGAATTGATTGTGTGGATAATCGTGGCTACTAGCTCAAATACTTAGCTAAAGTAAAAGCTTGATTAACGCTATTCTACGCGGCTTTATCTGTAAATCTCATTATTTTTTGTATGTCCTAAGTATAATTAATATTTAATTGAATGAATAGTGCTAACTGACTTTGTAGAAATGTATTTAGTCGTTTTATATTCTCAAAGCAGGTAGTTCAGCTAATATTGTCAAAAATCTATGTATTATATCATCTTTTAGAGACTTCATTTAAATAAAAATATTGTTTTATTTCGTTTCAGACATCTGTTCACGATATAATATTAAAAAATTTAGACAAGATAAAAAAACCACGTTCAGTACCGATTCATTCAATGTATTAAACATAAGAATGATAATCTAATGAAGTCTACCAGATCGCTCTTATTATGGCCTTCTCTTCTGTTTTTTATTGTTGTTCTTGTTATTATTTTTCTTCCTTGTTGTGAAAATAAAGAATATTCATTTCTCTTTGTTGTTATTCTCTATTTTACCTGATTACGATGATGAAATTATTTGTTCATGATTTTTCATTTTGTCAAACACTTTCTTTTATTGTGGTTCTGAGCTTTGAGACTATGTGTCAATATTTTTTGTTCAAGAGATGGGTTTTTTTACTCTCATTTTTTTTTGTTTCTGTCACTATATCAATCAAGTTTTTGTGTGCATGTATATACAAGAAGAATAAATACTTTGAAAAAAAGACCTCCGATTTTGTGAAGTTAGATTGGTCAATGGGGGAGGAAACAAGAAACGAAAGACGAAGGAATTATGCGTGATTTATTGTAACATAAAAAACAAAAACAAAACGAAGAAGTATTAAATGTCTAAACCAATACTCTGTAAAAATTCATCTAGTATTCTTAATTTTTTTGATGTGTCTTCAATATCATCCAGAGTCATCGTACTAAATTGTGTGAAATAAAATCTTAAATCATCTATGATTTGAACAGAATCAGTTTCTTGTCGTTGTTGAACACTAGCTGCATCTTCGACAACAAATAATTCAAATTCATGTTGATCTATTATCTAAATATAACAAATAAACATTAATTCTTAATTTATCATTTTTTTTCGTCTTAATCTACACAAACCTCTTCTAAATTTTCTGCTATAAATCGAATACAATAATTTTCAAGTTTAATTAATTGAAATAAACGTGCTAGACGTAATACAGGGATAATATTGTCTACCTTCAATAGACGTACATAATAATTACCAACAATTCGTTTTAGACCAGGTAACATATATTCATCGGCTAATATTAATAAATCATCTACATAAGTGTCAGGGATCTAAAACAGAATTGAAGTTAAACTTATGTACACGGAATTTTTATCAAATATCGAACTCATTATCAATAGTATGTTCTTAATTTATCTTTCTTATTTATTTATGACAACGTTCAGACTCTCATTCATTCATTTCGAACAAAAGATTTTTGAACATAGATATTGAAAATAAAACATCAATGGGATAAAATATAGCTACGGGATTCTAACTTTTTGATATTAAAAGTTGTTCTTTTAATTCTTTCTAGTTATTTGATTTTATCTTTACAATCGTGAAAATGTAAACTTTATTCAGTTACCAATTGTTCTTACTTCACAATCATCTGAATAAATATAATAGAGAATTGGTATAAATAATTCTTTTCGAACATTTTTTAAAATAATGGCTTGTTTTCCATCAATTTGACATATTTCATTAAAATGATTTTTGATCAATACACTAAAATATTCTGTACGCGTACACATAAATACCTTGACGAGAAAAAAAAATTTCTATATGAATACTCTGCTAGATGGTAAAAGTGCATAATATTTACTCGATGAATATTGAACTGGTAACCATCAACAATAAACATAAGATCAGAAAATGTATCGGATAAATGATCGATGAATGGTAATTCAGTACTAGCAATCTAAACAAAATTACGGTATAATTTGATATGGTATATAATTAATTCATATACTCAAAAACTCACCCATCTTCGTAATTCATATGGTATTGTTTGTTCGCATAATGCAGTAAAATCCGTATTCAAATATTTATCATTTGGTTCTGGTTCAATAACTAGACGATAAATCATTGTGTTTCCACATTTTATCGTTTCTAAAAATAAAAGCGTATAAATTTTCTCTAGACAATGTTTTAAAATGGCAAAATTCTTACGAAAATCATCGATTTCCGTCTTTTTCTGTTCAATTAAATCGTATAAACGTGGTAATTGACAGCGTTTTGCCAACGCTTTTACACTTTCAACATTATCTAAACTAATTTCACAACATCCCGTATATAAATAGCGTACCAGTGCTTCAAAACTATCCGCATTAAACTAAAACAAATATTAAATATAAAAACTAAATATTTCTAGTATATTTCTCTCATACTCTTACTTTAGCTTTTGATAATTTAATACATTTTTTGTCTTTCCATCTTGTTTGTAGTGCATCTTGAAAAAACAGTGAGCGAGCCGACAAAATGCATCGATGAAGTAAAAATATCTGTTCATCAATAATAAAAGTAATATCGTAATAGGGAGCATCTTCAAAGATCCTAGCACAAAAAAAAAATAAACAACGTAAACAGTAACAGATCAGTTCAATTTATTTAATCACAGATGAATAAAGGATGATTAAAGGCTAAGTAGTCACTCAGCGATGGTCATAGTAAAAACAAGTCATAAAGAAAAAATAATCGTCAATTAGAAAAATGTGCAAGAAGTTGAAGAGCAATATCAGTACTATTAACTTTAGAACTAAAATTCTTAATTGAGAGAACTATCATACAAACGACAACAATAATCGAAAAGCAAAGAAAAGCAAGACAAAATTTGTCCTAATCAAAGATATGATCCAAAGCACAAACTTTACGTCAGTCGTTCAAAACAATATCCGGTACATGATAAGTCTGAGAGAGCTATCTGAGAGCGTGCGAAAAAAGAATAACAAGACTACGAAAGGAAGAAACATCAATTAAAAACATTATCCAGGTGCAACTGATTAAATACAAGAAGAAAAGATTAGCTAAAAGGGAAAGATGTCAATATTTTGAAATATTTAAATATATTAACATAGACGAAGACTAGTTTGAGAGAAAATTAATACAAGTTTGGACATGAAAGGATGAGATAAGGAAAGACATACAATAATAAAAACATCGTCAACAAATATTCATACAGGTATTTAAAAACTATATTTCATAACACCCCGATGCAAAAGTAAGTAACATAATTTATGCTATACCATTCGAAAGAGCGATAAAAATGCTTCTACTTTTTATAATTACTTAATTTCAAATGTCTTTTCTTATAGGGAAAAAGTATATTTAATGAGGGAGATGTCCTTGAAAATGATCGACATTGCAAGAGCTTTCTTAGTAATGTTTGATATTTAGCTTTTTTCTTACTCAAACGCAGTTCTGAAAATTTTGTTTTTTATGCCTTTTGAAGTTCAGACTTCGCTCTTTCAACTGGACAGAAAATTAACGTTCTACAATGTTCCTGAGCGAAGAACCATGACTGTAGATTTCTTCAGTTACTTTTGCATCGGGGGTTAGCATACGTTTAATATTAAAATTTTTGCTAGCAACAGGAGACGAACAGAACAATCACTGAAAATGTTTGAAACAGTATCGTTTTTGTGAATAGGTAGAAAAGAAACAATTTTACATAAGGCTGTGGACTTACCAGAAAAGAAACAAAGTTTATTAGTAAATGAAAATGAGAAGAAAGAGTGTACAGACAAGAACAAATAGAAAAGAAACTTGAAAAAATCGCACCAGTCTCTATAGTAGACTTTTTTGACAACTCTCGGAGCAATAACAGTGGCAATATCAAAGTCCAACGCTCGAAGAAAAAACTTCTGTTTCTCTACTTGAAAGTAAAAAACAGTTTAGACTTACTTTCTTAGAAATTCATCGTAATTATTTCGTTTAATAATATGTTTTGTAACAACGTTGTAGGTTTTTAACAAATTTCGAATTTGATTTGTCAATGCACCATAACGACAGCGTTCACCGTCAAATGTATTCGGTTCACATCGGGCACCTAAACATGCGAAAAAAGTGATGAAACATCGAAAATATATTTAGATAGATTACTCGTACAAACGAAAACGTTTTTTTTTCTTTGCTAAACTTGATGTTTTCGACGTACCATTTTGTAACAAATACTCGACTACCTCATAATGACCGCACAGACATGCATAATATCTTAAAAAAAACAAAAGAAACTAAAAATAGAGTTAACTGTTTGTATATTTGAATTTTTATTAGTTTCCTCTATTATTTTTTCCGATAGATTGTTTGTTGTTCTTTAGTTTTTCGTGAAGAAAAGTTATTTTTCAAATCTTAATAATTCGGTGACCCTCTTATTTTATGTGACTATTTTTGTTAGAATACAACTTTTGATTTCCAATAAAAAATTTAAACACACTTACAGCGGAGTGCTGTCCCATTCGTCTCGGATATTCAATTCTACTTCTCTCTGGTCGACTAGATATCTAAAAACAGTAGATAAATTAAAATCGAACTTCATACACTATATGATTAATTAGACTGACCGAACGCGATCGACATTTCCTCGTCGAACACTTTGTATTAGATCAATGTTATCATTCATACTTTTATAATGAAAATAAGTAATTAAAAGGGGCAGGCGGCACTATTATTATATCATATATGCTAAAGCAAAAGAAGTAGAGCACTATGACTCATCGAACCTATCCGTACTACTGATACTATTGCCAAGTAGAAAGACAAATAATAATCGAAGCATTTCTGTGTTTAGTGTTATGAATATTGAGCAGATTTTAGGAATTATATTTCGACTAAATTCTCGATTAATACATTGTCGCAGTTCAGTACTCTCTGTTACGAATCGTATGGTAGAGGCTCTTACATCGTTATTTAATGACGCAAAGCATAATCAGCTGTGTCAAATCAAACTTGAAACGACCCTTTTGACTAACGTAAAATAAGCTAAAACTACTTTTTGACCATTGAACATTTTGTAACTAGAGCCTCTACATCAAAACGACTTTAAGAAAAGGTTTTTAAAGTTTAAAATATGTTTTAGAATAAAAATCTCGTCAAATCAGATTAAAAAGGATATTTCGAAAAACTGTACTATAGATGACGCTAGCGCACAGCACAGCGTATGCAGTTTTCTATTTGGCCTATACAGGAAATTTCTCTTTCGCTGCTTAGCTTTCTATTATCTACCCTTGTCTATATCTCGAACAGTCCTCTAATTGACAATTCTTTGTAGAAAAACCGAAACAGAATATATAATGTTTCCCTCGTTATCATTATGTTTCTTTTTCTTTTTATCTTTCTTGCATAGGAAAAGACAAGACACGTGTGATATATATGCGAAGTAGAGTAAGACTAGTTTATTCACGAAAAGTGAAAGTCATCAAAGGTCTCCCATCTTTAATATTAATGATTCGAGCCAAAATACAAGTTCTCTATAAACATGGACGAGATCGGGACTGGAATCAGTGTTTTTAATGATTAGTGTGACAAGCGAGAGTAAAATGGGTTTTCACTGTGTTTTTTCATTCAACAATCTCAATTAGAAGAAAGTCAAATTAACCCTTTCGGGACCAGTGACGTTTTAAAACGTCACTGAAATTTCACGTGATCTGACGTGTCAGAATTCGAATTTTTTTCATTCTAGATATGGCTAGAGGGTTAGATGAATCTGGAAAAAATAAATCATTTTTGAAAAGTTGAAAATTTTGTAATTTTTGCACAAAATAAGTTGGCTCTGAAAGTAAGTTGGTCCTGAAAGGGTTAAGTGCCTAATGAGGTTTTGTAGAGGAAAGAAAGCTGCATCCAACCATAGGACTAGCCATTGCGGAAAGTTAAAGCGCATCATATATTTCAAAAACACTATACAGTGACCCTCTCCTCTGTGGACAAGTATCGGGCCTTTCGAAACTCTCCCATTTCTATTAGGACAATTTCAATAAAATGCTATACCAATTGTGGAAACCTATGCAGAAAAATGTGGTCTTTCACGCTGGCTATGTCAAAAAAATTTCGGAGTGGCGGCAGATTTGCCGTTCTATCCGGCGATGTTCTCTTCTTTTTCGAAAAAATAATTCGGTCCCAAAAGGGTTAAGGATTATAATCACGTTGTACTACTCGCATTACCGTCACGATCGTTACCTAATAACAACAACATTAACTTACAAACATCTACACAAATGATAAGAAAGAAAGATATTTTTATCGTCTCGTCGAGACAATAAAAAAATTCTCTTCTAGCTGGCGTTGGAAAAAAATTTGTACTCTTCCCATTTTGTGCACTTTACATTTCAGACCAAAGTAGAAAATCCCGCTTTGATGTTAACACCAAAGTGGAAAGTTCCACTTTGAAAAAAGTTCTATTAAAAACATTAACTGGAATCAAGAATTATTTTTAACAATATCGTAAAAGTAGTAAAAAATTGCCGGCATGAACGGATTGTTTTTTCCGTATTTTACAAGTAAAAAGTTTTTCGAGACCGATGTGGAACCAAAAAGTCTTCATGTATGTATTATTCATGAAAAGTGGAAATCATCAAAGGTCCCCAATGTGTAATAATAATAGCCGATGTGTAACAATAACTTAAGTCAATAAAAGGGTAAGCACAATTAGACAAAAGAAAACTAGAATAATGGACGGAGACAGATCAAATAAACAAGTGAAAACCTTGGTTCCACCCACGTTAGTTCTATGTTATGTATATATTACATGTATTATTTTCTTTCTTTCTTTGGTGATATAATGTCGCACAGTAACGTCTTTCAATGAAATTCAAAAAGATCTGACGATAAACCATGGAGTGCTTTAGATTGGCCAAAAAGCATCCATTGTACTGTAAAATCACAAGTGATTTTTAGCTTCTCATGACCCATAAGCTAACGGTTGATCGATCAGCTGCTTAGTTTTTTTTATTTCAATATTCTTAAGCAATAATGCGATAAAAGCTGATTATTTTATTTAATCCATCGTATCCTAAATCTATATAGCATGATCAGATTTGTGATTTCTTTCTGATCATTTAAAGTAATGTTTTGTAATGATAGTAATTCTATGGTAGTATGGATCCAAAATGGGTTCACATTATGTTTTTTTGATACTTTAACAACTTCAATATTATTTGGATTTATTTTTATTTTTGGAACAATTCAATTCATTTTCTATAAGTAATATAAAAAATCTAAGATTTTTGTTAGATTTCTAACAAAATTTTGAGGCACATATGCCCATAAACTATTCCTAGCAATTCAGAGCGTTAAGCAGAGGATACATACACTTTTTGCAGTATCCATTGTTTATATGGGTACACTTTGTCATTAGAAATGGCCGAGTTTTGTCACATTTACGAGGGAACCACTCGAGGTGATAAAACGCTTTCTGATCAAAATCTAGTGGGTTATAGGTTATCGACCATGCTGATTCTGAATATGATTATGGAAGCTGCACTTAACCGTTCGAAGATTCGATTTTCTGGAAAACCAGTCTTCCGAAACTCTAAAAAGTAATCAAAATCTTTCTTAATGAGGCATTATTGTAGTCCGCAAATTTCTGATTAAAATGAGATCTCTTCCAGCTTTACACGACCTTTCTTTGCAAAGTTATAGAATTTACAAGAAAAGCCCTATATGTTCATTGTCAGCTCAAAGCTATAATTTAGGGCTTTTCTTGTAAATTCTATAACTTTGCAAAGAAAGGTCGTGTAAAGCTGGAAGAGATCTCATTTTAATCAGAAATTTGCGGACTACAATAATGCCTCATTAAGAAAGGCTTTTGTTACTTTTTAGAGTTTCAGAAAGACTGGTTTTCCAGAAAACCGGATCTTCGAACGGTTAAGGGCAGCTCCCATAATCATATTCAGAATAAGCATGGTCGATAACGTATAACCCACTAGATTTCGATCAAAAAGCGTTTTATCACGTCAAGAGGTTCCGTTGTTAGTCATAAAGAAGTATTCTGAATAGAAATTATTTTATCGTTTAGAAAAAAAAGGCTCTGATATTCGATATTTGATCTATCTTTGTTTCTCATACAATCTTGTTTATCGATATGTAAATTTTTTTTATTATTTTTGTTAAAAATTTTAGGAAATATGGTTTTAAAATCGAGAAAGAATATATAGATCCGTCCATACTGTATAGTATACAAATTATTTTAACCATACTATTGGCATGTGAGCCAACACTTTATTATGCATCAGAAACAACAGCTATTGGTACACAAGTTAAAGTATGTAGAATGAAAAATATGGAATTCTTGTACATTTTTATTTTGTTTATTTTCAGCTGCCAGGATACATTATATTTCGCTGTGTATTGCGTACCGTAGCATGGTTATATTCATTAATTATACTTCGGGTGGAGAGAACAAAAACATTGCCAACTATTCAGTCAAGAGGACATGGTTTAATAATACTTACTTATTGGTGTTTAAGTTTTTTGATTGAAGCATTAGGTATGATAGAATTATAGAAAGACATAAGTTTTGTTCTCTTTCTGTCTATGCTCGTGATATGAGATCTTTGATAGAAGATGCATAACACTATTTTCTCCCTTCGTATGAAATCTCCTATTATATTGTTAAGTAAACAAAAATCGTTATCATTCTAACGTAGAAGCGGGTGTAGCCATTATATCACTGTTAGAAATGATCAAAGTGGTAAAACATAGAACAACATTCGAGTTAAAAAGAAAAGAGTAAACTTAAGTGAGAAGTGAGAGAAAGAAAAGGAAAAAATAAAAAATGTAAAGTAGACTAGGGAGCACAAGTATGTTTGTTTTCCTGGCTTAATTATTCTCAAGACCCTCAAAGCGTTGAGAATCGATAATATATTCAATCGCAGATTTAGCAACAAGTAAATACGTACCTTTATCAAGCGATGCATTCAAGCATAGTAGATCCATACACGGGGGACTGTTAAGTTTTTACTTTTTATGGAATGGGTTGACTTTAAGTTGACTCCTTAGACAAATGAAAATAAAACACTTTTGCGTTTTACAGACATATTTTGTAGTTTCTAGATTCATTGTTTGTTTTTTAGCATTAGTTTCCTATCGCAGTCCATTATGGTACTTTAATGTGACAACGAGAATCGATCAAGTCCGATTAGGTTATTGGATATTTCGATTTTCAGCGACGATAATCGTATTTTTAATTGGATTAAGAGGTACGTAAAAATATGAGGACGCTTGTCTTATGACTTTTATTAGTACTGCTAGAACTTGGCGATATTTTGAATTTATAACCATTTGTACTGTATAGGCATCATTATTTTATGTAATTTTATAGGTCCTGGCGTACCTCGACGTCGATATGCTGCTTCGTTAATACGTACTGAATCTCAAATTGAAGAAGCACAGCAAAATGAAAATGTTTCGAGTAAATTTTTTCGCCACATTAAAACACTTGCACCTTATATATGGCCGAAAGGAAAAATTGGTCTACAACTAAATGTATTTATTTGTATCGCAATAGTAGTAGCTGGAAGATTATTAAGTTTAGAAGTACCGAGATATACAAAATTAATTAGTATGTACTATAATTCAAATAAAATTGTATAATTTATATCCTTGACATATATATTTTTATTTTAGCTGATGAATTAATAAATGCTGGTGGTGATAATTCTTCAACAACAGATACACTTTTAAATATTGGACATCTACTTCAAAATCCACAAGTATGGCCATGGCGATTAGTCTTGGTATTGATGGGTTTGAGACTTTTACAAGGTAAGACATGATATCTTTCATGTACCTAAAGTACAAAAAACAGTAGAATCGATAGCATATATTACATATAGTATGATAATTGCGTAGTAAAAGTGCACAGATATCTACATGTCTCTGTTTTATACAAAGTACTAAATTATTATTAGTGCAATCATAAATATCATGATTTCTATGTATATTTAGGTGGATCATTTGGTAGTGGTATGTTAGGATTATTACGTTCCGTTTTGTGGATTAAAGTTGAACAATATACAACTCGTACTCTAAAATTACGTGTTTTCTCTCATTTACATAATTTATCATTAAAATGGCATTTATCTCGTAAAACTGGTGAAGTCTTGAGAATAGTTGATCGTGGTACAGACTCTGTTGATTCACTATTAAATTATATTCTCTTTAACATTGTGCCGACAATTGCCGATATTCTTATTGCCATTGTATATTTTATAATTGTATTTAATATATGGTTTGGCATTATTGTATTTGCTACAATGTTAATATATTTAATTGTAACGATTCTAATTACAGGTAAATATCATTCACTAGTATTTCAACAAAGAAAAAAGATCATTTTTGTCTTTATTTTTTTTTTCAAGAATGGAGGACAAAATACAAACGAGAAATGAATAAATTAGATAATGAAATGAGCGCAACTGCCGTTGATTCTTTATTAAATTTTGAAACAGTTAAATATTATGGTGCTGAACCATATGAAGTGAATCAGTATCATACAGCTATAACAAAATATCAACGTGCTGAATATATAAGTCAATTAACACTGCAACTATTAAATATTGTTCAAGCTATGATCATTGGTATTGGATTAACCGCTGGAAGTTTGTATTGTGCGTGGTTAGTCGCCGAAAAACATGAATTAACCGTTGGAGATTATGTACTATTTGGTACCTACATTACACAACTTTATATGTACAAAAATAGTTCATCAATGAACCAAATTGTTCTTATTCGTTCTTTAATTTTAGCCCATTGAATTCGTTTGGCAGCGTTTACCGTATGATTCAACAAGCATTCATTGATATGGAAAATATGTTAGATTTACTTGATATTCAACCAGAAATACAAGATCGACCTTTTGCTCAAGATATTCAAATCAACAATGGAATGATCGAGTTTGAGAATGTTTGCTTTCATTATCAACCGGAAAGACCAATATTGAAGAATGTTTCATTCTCAATTTTACCGGGTCAGACCATGGCAATTGTCGGTCCTAGTGGTGCTGGTAGGTGGTTCAGCTTACTATTTCTATTTCTTTTTCGTTGTTTTTGAGTATGTGAAACTAATTTTACTGAGAAACGATAAGCCACATTTTAAGTTAGAAGCTTCATATGATATCGATTTCGATAAGCTGGTCAACTTTTCTTTTCTTTTTTGAGCGATTATTAAAAAAGCAATAAGAAAATGTGGCCCGAGAAGATGCTCTCTATTTTATGTTATATTTTTTTAATGAAATATTTTTTTTCAGGTAAAAGTACAATTGTTCGTTTAATGTTTCGATTTTATGATGTTGAAAGTGGTGAAATCAAAATTGATGGTACAAACATTTCAATGGTTACACAAAACTCATTGAGACGATCGATTGGTGTTGTGCCACAGGATACTGTGTTGTTTAATAAAGATGTTTTATACAATATCCGTTATGGAAGAGTAAATATGTTTAGTTTTTACATTTGTAATATTATATATTGCATTATTTTTTTGTAAATTAAGGTAACAGCTGCTGATCGTGAAGTTGAAAATGCGGCTCGCTTAGCTGAAATGCATGGTCAGATTTAAAAATAACAATAAGTTAATTTTATTTATTTATTTATTTTTTCTTAATAATTTAGATCGTATTTTAACATTTCCCGATGGCTATAGAACTGTTGTAGGTGAACGAGGTCTAAAATTGTCAGGTGGTGAAAAACAAAGAGTGTGTATAGCACGAACAGCATTAAAAGCCCCGGTTATTGTTTTACTTGATGAAGCAACATCTGCATTAGGTCTGTATACCTATAATTTTGATTAACGATTGGTGATATATTAGAGCATATTTTTCTTCGTTTAGATACACACACTGAAAGACAAATACAATCAGCATTAAAAAGTGTTACCGAAGGTTAATAATTAATGCATTGCTGTTTTTATGCATTTAAATAGAATATCACTAGCAAAGAGTTTTTTATTGATTTTCTTTTTTGTTTAGGTCGTACAACGCTGATTGTTGCACATCGTTTATCAACGATATCCCATGCCGATTTAATTATAGTTTTAAAAGAAGGTGAAGTTGTTGAACGAGGAAATCATGAACAATTACTTCAATTAAATAGTGTTTATGCAAGTATGTGGAATGAACAGTCAACAAGTTATACGGAAGCTGGACTAAATAACGAAATACAATCAGATGGAGAATTATTGGTAAATTTTGACGATAATTCCCATAAAAATCCACATATGTAAGATTAAATGTAAAAAAAGAAATAATAGGAAGAAAACTACTCACAATGCCGGTGATATTCGATTTATTCTGTGACAAATGTTATTAAGTACTCAAAAAAACGAAAGTCGAAGATAAAAAGACAAAATCATTTGCTCGATATATTAAAATATACCTGAAAAGTCATTTTTTAATTAAAATTTATAAACGGTTCTCTGCGGGAATGTGTCTTAAAGAGAATCGGACAATTCATTCCTATCAGCAGTGATCAGTCTCTCTTTTCCGATTGTATGTGTATTGATTGTTATTCATGTCCGTTATTTTTATTATGCATGAATGTTTTGGCTCAATGCTTTGTTTCTATTTATTCAAGAAAGATTGCATTTTTTTTTTTGCTAACAAAAAGCGTTTATTGTTTTTCTGTTATTATTGTCAAAATAAAAACGAATCACACGTCCACTAATCGTAAACTGTTTGTCTGCACACTTATTTTTCTCTGTTGCTAGACTCACATTTGTGTGCACGTATTATTTTTATTGTTGTTCATCTAAAAGTTATTTTTGTTTTTCATATTAAATAAAAAGTAATAAAAACAAAACATATCATCTTATAAATGATCTATTTTTACATCAAATTTTTTTTTCTTTCACATTTAAACTGTTTCGATTTTTTAATAATTTTCCAATATTTTGTAAATAGTTCATTATAATGATTTGTTTCATTGTTTGATGATTTAGTATATATATCCATCATTTTACAAAATGTTCCTAATACTTTTCGTTCTTGTGATTGTATATTATCAAGTAATGTTGAAAATTTTTGTCCATTAACACGTTTTAAAGAACTTAATAATTGAATGGGTTGTTTCAAAAAATTACTTGCTGATGTAAAATGATGTTTATCATGTTCATTTGGACCCATTTGAGTACCACCAAAATCAATTAAATTCACGTCAAATGTATTAAAATCAACAAGAATATTTCGTTCATTCATATCATCATGATATACTTGAGCCATATCCATATTACATGAAATAGCAGCCACTTGACATGCAATATAATTGTATTCGGTTGATTTCAGCGTATCGATTATTTTTGATAATTCTTGAAAGCCAACAAACAATTCCATTACCAATATTTTATATGAATCTGTTTCGATATAGGTAACATATTTTGGTACTGATTGCACATTAGCTTCAGTTAATATCTGCAAAGCAACTGCTTCACGTAAACCTTGTTCTTTTGATGTTGAAACCTTATTTATACTACCAATTGTATTTGGATCAATACGATTATATCGTCCAGTAACAGTGTATGTGACTATTTCTAACTTATGCACTAATTGTGGTTTTAGAAATTTAACAGCAACGGGATATGTAACTTTATTACATCCCGCTCGAACAACGATACCATATGATCCTGAACCGATAAATGAATTTTTATCTAAACTAAGACATAGTTGAGTTTCATTAGTGGAACATGGTACTGTTGCTACAACGAGTTCTTCACTTATCAATGATTTGAAATCATTCTGAGTTAATGGAAATTGTAAATTATTTTCGATTATTGAACTAGGAACAAATGAATTTTGAGAACATTTTGCGGCGTTTTTTGACTGTTTACGGTGATCATCTCGTACTGAAATTTGTAAAAAAAACTAGAATTACTATACATTTCACAATAGAGTAGACGGGCACATTTTTGATTAACTTCAGAACAAAAGAATTAGCGAGTTCAAATTTATTTTTAGCGTTTTGTACAGTAAACCAGAGTCTATTGGATATTTGAAAAAAGTACACTAACATCTATTAACAGTCCTGAATTAAAATCTGATACAGTGTCGAGTTGATTATACTATCATCGAATAATATTCAGATGAATACTTATTAACGCTACTAAACGTCAAAAAGACGTTTGGCACCTTTCTAACATTATAATCTAGTATATAAACGTATAAATATAAATGTAAGATTTTGAGTTTTTTCCTGAATAACTAGCCCTAAGTATCCTCTTCAAAATGGAAATCAAGTGAGTTCCAAGTAAATGGTGCTAAATCTCTTTATTATGAATATTGCATCATACGGACACCACCATACATGAATAACTTTTATTTTAATCCATTTCAGTATGATATGTTTCACTAAATATAATGTACAGAATTCTTCCAGTAAATAGCGATAATACTTACGTAAAAGTTGTAGAGTACATGCAAATGAGTTTAAACAAAATAATAAACAAAGCTGTACGAACGTCAGCATTGTTTTTGACTCAAACGAGAAGTTGTTTCTTACAATAAATGATATGTAGTAAAAAATAGATTTTATGTATCACATAGAGAAAAAGAAGAGACTATCTATCTGTTCTAGTATAGGTGCATAGTTACTAGAAATTATCCTTTACTCACTTATCCATAACAAATATATTATATACAATATGGAAATAATATGCAAAAAGTCTTCCTCATATGACTTTGATTAATCAGTCAAATAGGAGAAAATCATCGTCGATCATACATCTATTTCTTTCCTTTTTGTATAGTTGTTTAGACGCTCCTCTACATGACGTTTATTTGAGCAATATTGCACTTGTTTGGGCCAAGATTGTCCCCCATCGCCTCAGTGTAAACTCTGAGTCATTTGGAGAAAATGTTTTTATTTCCGTGTGTGCACTTCATGTCACGAACTGCTTCCTTGTGTATCTGAAAAACCTTGAGATTGTTCATGTTAGGGCGCCACAATTAACGATACGGCCATGATCTCTAGACACCATCTAGTCTAGCCCCAAACCATCGAGTGAACTGCTGTGTCATGTGCTGAGCAAGAATCTCTCTATCTAAAAAATCGTTTCAAAGTTGAAACTGAGCCCGTTCTACAACGTAAATTCACCGCTAGACGCACTCGCGAACAGACTTCTTTCCTTCAGTGTCCATTAATTCTCACGCAACCTTAAGCTCATAATATTTTTCGGACACCAAACCTTATTGGTGCTTATATGTACAAATCTTGTTAACTGCATTGGCCAGGCTGTGCATGTGAGAGGTAGTAGATCCTTTGTTAAGACGTCAAATCCCCGTTGTGCACTGCTTGCAGGCTTGAACAAGATTGCAATTTCTATAGCTTCTCTGTCACTTTTTGTCCTAGATAGAACGAAACATCTTTCGAGTCGCTGAGCTCCATATGCATGGACTGCTATTCTGCTTAGATTGATAGACGGGATCTGGAAAATCTGCGGATAAAATGGTCCTGCCAGACGCTTTCTAAAGAACTTTATAAAACATTGACTTCAAATCGTATGTAAAAAATGGCTCAGATCGAGGCATAAAGTTTGTTTGTTTCGTCGTACAGATAAACTGCAATTTTTTCATATACCCTGTATCTGCTATCTACGCCTTCAACCGTTAGCTCCGGTTTATGCTGGGGGAAATTGTTCCAATTTAATTTGGATAAAGCAAATGTGAGATAGAATCTTGATCTGAAAATCGCAACCGCTCTCTGTTTAATATGAAAAATAAAATAACTGTAATCATTTTTGTAAAAAAAAAATAATAAAAAAAATGATAATTTATCTTATAGTATATTGGACCTAAATCTCTTGATCACAAATATTGCATCGTATGATTACACATAAATCAATGAAAGAATTCTTAACAGTTATAAAATAATACATAGAGTCAGTTTTAGTATAGCTAACGAACGGGACCGAATGAATTTTACTGTTGCAGAAACTTGTGTAAACAGATGAATAGTGAAATTAGAATATTCACCTCCTAGAAACTTGTGTATTCTTTATCACTGTTAGATCTCTTTCTCATATTGCAAATAAATTTCTTTCCAACTTTGTTTTAATTCATTGGCAGTTTTAGTCGTTTGCAGACAACATGTCAATACTGTTTGAGATCGACGAAAATAGTCCATACAGAGTAAACCATCGTTTGTATCACAATAATATTCATGAATATCAACAATACTCACATTAGCCAATGTTCGTAATATTCCTGAAAAAGAATTAATAGAAAATTTTGATGAAATCAACATTGTCTCGCTGCAGATAGAAATAAGAAACGGATAATACGACGAAAGACAAATGTGGACAGTATATGTATCAGTAAAATACTAGTGAAGCTGACGGTTTTATTAAGAAAAAGAAAAACTGTTTTGGAAATGAAGGGAGATTTGTTTGAAACGACGTGTATTTGTAATTATTTATATTTGTGTATAAAATTCGGATACATATAACTCCACCACTTCGCTGTCTGTAGATTTATACCAATATATGAGAATTACTTACTGAATATTACTTACATATGTAAAATACGTCTCCAGTTAAGTGAGATCCTGCACCCTCCAAATTGTCTCCAAGTCTTACCGTTTAGGAATTTTCCAGAGATCAAGGTCCAAAAATGACCCTGAAGTTTTTCCCAGGATTTTTTAATATACTTCAAACTAGAGAGTTCGGGTTTGATTTATTTTAAACTAGACACCTAACTACATGGGCTGAACGATGTCGATTTTTCCATCAAGCCTTTGTTGGTTTTCTAGACAACTCGAAAAACCGTTCCTGGTTTCTCAGAAATCTATAATTTAACAAAAAACTAAGACCTAATTAAAAAATCGGCGCCGGTCAGTCCCATGTAGTTAGGTGTCTAGTTTAGAATAAAACAAACCCGAACTCTCTAGTTTGAAGTATATTAAAAAATCCTGGGAAAAACTTCAGGTGTAACTCTCGTGTGGAGAAAACGCTATGCACCAGTTGGTCCATTTTAGGACTTGCAGGAAAATGCTTGTAACTTTTTGACGCAAGGTCATACAGAGTTGTGTGAGATCTTAAATTGAAGAGAAAAGTATACTCTACAAACCTACACGTTCAGAAAAAATTGCATAAGTATCCAGGAAAAAACTATTATTTGAAGATCCTGTTTTTTAAGGCTCCTAGAAAACTTGCTCGAAAGCCAGGAAAAATTACTTCTAGGACCGAAAGCGATACAGATTCTAAGAGTCTTTAGGCTATCTCAAAGTCGATTATCTCATGGGCTTATCTCAAAATCGATTTTTTGACCGAGAATCATCATTTCTAGGAGGGGGTGGAGTAAGAGAGGAGTCCCTCACCCTTGTCCTTAAGAAAAGTTCAAGGTGACAAAAACTATCTCAGTGTCGTTTTAGCAAGTTTTTTTTTTTTCATTTTTTAAATAACTGAAATTAACAGCAATTTTACAACGAACGTTTTACAAGAAATTACAAACATTCGATTACATATATGAACTCTAATTTGTTTTTTTTCTACCTTTGTTAGAAATATCAAGTTACCTGTTATATAAACGTCTCCGATTCTTAATAAATTGTGTTTCTGGTTCGATGCTTCTACAATTGCATCTCGTGCAGTCTTAGTCATAAAATACATGATACCATAGAGATAGGGTGGATTGTATCGTAGTGGATACTAAAAATAAGTTTATATAAATTATTTCTAAAATAAACAGAATGTATGCCACACTCTCTTACTTCGTCAATTCCAACAAAATATCGTCCTGTTCTTAATACGGTTGCTGAGAAACGAAGGTTGCCATAAGCTATCAATGGTTGAGGACCATCTTTTACATAAGATTTTTGTAATTGACTGATGTAATTTAATAAATAAAAAACATTAATAACAACGTCATCATCGGCTTTGCCGACGAATAGCGCATTTGGACAATATAAATTTGTCCATTTAAGAGCAAATATTTCTTTAAAATTAACGTATTCATACTGTTCTGGTACATTAATAACAACAATATCTCGAAACATTGTTTCTTCCCATTTCAACATTGCCATGGATGTTTCATCAATTCCCACAATAAATACAACTTTTATTGTTAAATTTGAGGATGATATTCGCGGCTTAGCCCATGTTCGTCGTAATTCATGTCGACGTTCAAAACTTTTCGCTCGAGTTAATACCATTAGAATAACATCAACTGTTCGATTTATGACTGAATGACATGCCAAATGATTTCTTATTAAATATTGAACATGTGGTAACCGACGCAATTGTGGAACGATTATACTTGGATCTTTGATCATTGATTTCGACATAAAATAATCATTTTTGATTAGACTTAGATTTATTACAACGTTTGTGTTTGAATGAGAAGTTCCACTATTTGAAGTTGACAGTTGCATGAGAAATATTGATAGAATATAAAAAATTAAAGTTAATGAAATGATACGTTTTATAAATGGTAGATGACGAAATGTACGGTTTAAACTAATTGTCCTTCTTGACTGAGACATTTCAGTTAACAAACAATATAATACAACAATAAAACACCAGCAATTGTTAGGTATATATATCCAGAATACAAAATAAATTTAGATATTGAAATACATATAGCAGTGTTTGTCTCAATTCTATGACTAAAATCTATCTCTAATAGCTAAAAAATAGTTAAAATTTATTATTTAGTTAGAGCATTCGACTGAAACTGAAATTATTCGTTTATATGTTCATATCACTTTCATATTAGTTATGCATTTCATATGAAATAGAACACAAGAAATTAGTATTTGAAAACCAAACACATTTATTTCACAATGTTTTTGTAGAAAAACAAAGATATTCTAGATAAAATTCAGTGACATCAAGTATATAAATATGATTTTATGCTATGCTTCGTTTTCCGGCCGTTCTGTCTTCTTAACACTAGAGCACCCGGAAATTTTCATGATCTAGAACGTCCAAAGCGGTTATTTTGACCGTTACTGTTTTTTTTTAAAATTTTATACTTAAAAATGGTTCTGAATTCAAAAATGAATTAAAAATTCTGCAAAAAATAATT